AGTCTGCCCATGAGTACATAAGCCACCCAACGCACTGTGCAGCGAAGCAAGTACAAGCCTGGCCGCAGAGGGACGCCATTTCAGCTGGGTAATCATGTGTGTCAATAGGGTACAGTCAGTGCCATCTCATGCCTACTTCAAACTGACCTGTGACTTTTGCTAAATCTATTGGACTGACAGAAGACTCAGCAGAGAGCCTGACTTGGCTTCTCGCTGATTAGACTCGCTCCACATCGGTGGCCATGGCTTTGTGGTTGAGGGGAACCTTTTTTGGACGTGGTGACGGTGCCTGTACAAGGCAGCTATTCTTTAGTGGCTGCTTCATCGCTCCATTTCTTTTCCCAGCTACTACAGCCTTCCAGGTTTATTTCGATTTCACTACCTATTTTACTATTTTTAAGCAAAATTTGGCCATTTTGAAACAGAACTGTATTATTGCTCTGATCACAAAGGGTTTGTATGTTCTACAGCATTAAACAACAGCAAAAATCTGTGTGTGATGTACGTACTGCGGAGATCTGTCAGGAACTCGGTTGCTGACTGAGGTTAAACCACAACAGTTGTATAGTTTTGAATTCCCAGTTAAAAGCCAAATGTTAGAAGTTTATTTCAGTCTTGAACTCTGGCAGGCCAGTGGGACTCTTCTTGTGGTCTGTAGAAAGATTTGGAAATACTGAAGAGAATTCTCTAGCCATATTAAATTTTATTTTTTTTATCTTATTTTGTGAATTATTACATGCGTTAACTCATTAGTTGGTACTTTGAGATAGTTTTAATAGAATTCTCACTCCCCTTCTTCTGGGCACTATCAGTCAAGTTATTGTGCATGTTGCTGTTCCTAAATTATCTTTTGTATTACACGTTTGGACTTCTGAAAACCAATTTCTTATTCTTTTGCTACTTTATCTTTAAAATATGTAAAATATTACCCTGGTGTGCACAGAATTTGTGAGAATAAAAGCTTTTAGACACTGATGGGGAGTGGGGAGAGTCAGAACAATTGTTTGTTGTATTTGTTGTAAGTAATTTTTATTGAGTTTCCTGCTTAGCACAAAACAAAATACCCATCTATTGTGTATACTGCTTCTTTTTCATAACAAATACAATTTCTGACCTAAGAGGAGCCTGCAGACATACATACAAATCAAGTAGGTAACTCATGAGAACATAATCTGATTAAGTTCCGTAAGTCATTCATAAGTTTCCATATGTTATTATATTCAGAAAAAGATATAATTGCATTTCCTGTCAGTTAGATGGTGATTGTGCTCTCCTGAATGAGTTATTAGTCCTTTTTTTGATCTGTTTCTGTAGTTGGGACTAGCAATATTGCTGGGTTTATGTAGTAAAAGCTGACCCAGTTTAGTCCACAAAACTGATATAGTAGATGCAGGCAAAATATGTTATTCTTTGTGTATTACACTAACAGACAGAAATGAGGGGGTGTATCTAATACCAAAAGTGCTTTAAGAGTTTTTGTTTTCGTGTTCCAAACTTGAATACCAAAATCTGCAACCTAGACTGTTTTCAACTTCCTAGGTTAAAATCAGGCTCCTAGCCTATCTTCAGTTGTGACAGGTACATTCTGTGTTCTTATAGAAACATCTCAGTCAAAATTTGACAGCTTTTGTTATTTATTGTCTCATGGTCAGTGTCTGCCTGGACCCGTGCCTGTGCACTGCACCGGCACAACAGTCAGTGGTCGGGATCCGTGCTCTTGGGCAAATTGTGCAGCGCAGCTTCTCCGGCAGAGACTGCAGGGAAGAGCATGGGAAGAGCCTCCACAGAGGGAGGCCGGGAGGAGGACATGGGACTCATCAGTTGTAATTTTATGGATCTTTAAGGTTGTTTTCACTGTATAACTGTGATAGATAGAGCTTTGAAGACGGCAGGTGAGATAGTGCAGGACATCAGTGGCTCTACTCAGTAACGTCAGACGGTTGCATTCAGCTCCCATCCTTACCTCCATCTGGAAACACATCATCTAACTACACTCCTCAGGAGCGCCGTTGTGTTCTTAAAGCACGGTGAGCTTTGTAAAAAATTCATTCTGAAAACTTGTGAGAGTTATTGACTACCATACCGATAAAAGAGTGGACTTGGTTTTCATCATTTGTGGATTTTTCTCTTCTTCATTATGTACAGGAAACTCTGTGAGTGTTTGAAGTCATGCCTTAACAAATGGTACGTCTGATGAGTCAACTAAACTTGCCCTTTATGTGCTTCTGGTAATCATAATTTTACTTCTCCTCACTTCCCTATTTCAGACAGTTTTCTCTTTCATTTTTCACTCATGGCTTGAGCTGCGTTGTCTGGGGAAAATGTAACAACAAAGGCAGAAATACTGTTTCTTCATAAAACTTATTGGGATGATAATTGATAGGGCTGCCGTAGGATTAATTAAGATTGCAGAGAATTTGGCAAAATAACCGACTATTCCCTGAAGACATGTGACTGAGGATGACTGTGCTGAATTTTTGTTCCTCTTTCCCCAAAGAGAAGTTTTATTCCATCAAATACTGAGCAAAATAAGTAACTATGTTTGGACTTCTTTTTTTCATTTTGTTCACTCCTGGAGCCAGTGAATTTCTTTGTATGTCGTCAGATCTAGAAATGTCATATACTTTTTGTGGTAAGTAAAAAATAGCTTATTCTTTTCTTACTGGCGTTTGCACAATAATTGCTGTAGTCTGAGGAAATGCGAACTTTCTTTCAAATGTGTTTCTTTGATGAATACAGAAAAATAGAAAGAAGTTCAGCTGGACTATATTTCTGTTATTAATTACCATTACAAGAATTATACTGCATAGGCGTAAATACTACCCCGATGCTGGTTGCAGCAGCTAAGAGAGAAGTTTATCCCAAGTAAAGCAGGCATGTTTTGATTCAGGAAATATTAGAAGATAAGGGATTTAAACTTGTTTTGCAAGTACTGTATTGTATAAATTATCCACATTGATTTAACCGACATATACAATGAAAAGCTTTAAGTATATGGGAAAAAAGGGGGAATGTGATATTCTGCCAGGCTGGAGGATGAGTTAGGCTCTGGGACAACATAGCGTGTCCCTTCTTGCCGTGTCTGTGTCACAGGCCACTGGATCTGTGTAGCTCACTGAGGTTTTTCATCGATTCTGCAACAACTTGGCACCTCCCTGATGTCCATGTTGAACAGGCTCAGTGTGCCCCTGCGGACTCAGTGGCAAGAAGGTGGGCTTTTGAGGAGATATTTCGCAAGGAAAGGACCAGGTCTCTTGAAAATCTGTGTACATTACTAGTGTATATCACCTGTAAAATAGCTACATAAACTGAGGCACAGGAGGAGATGTTTATTTTGGGTACTGTGCTTTACATTAATACTCATGCTAAAAATTTAACAAGGGTAAAAGTGGGGGTACTTAAGCTTGCAAACCAAACCTTTGAGACCATGGTGAGTTTTGTTCGCCCTTTTTCCTGTCGTAATTTCCTGTGCGTAGTTGTATCCGAGATGAGAACCTGACTGCTGGTTACCAACAGCCGGACAGTTTCCCTTTGCACACCCCTTGCTTTAATCCCTGAAACACAAGAGCAAACCCCTCACTGCAAATCACCCTGCCGTCCCATTTGCTCCCGCCCGCGCTCAACTGGGTTAGCACCCCTTCCCCACCCTGCCTGCAGGCCCGCAGCAAGCAGGGCACTTCTCCAGCGTGAGCACACTAGGGAGGGCAGAAGCAGGCTGAACTGAATAGACTTATTTCCTAAAATGAACATAAAAATATTGACTGGAAGTCCTTCCGAAGGCTGTCACTGAATGATTTTTTAAAAATTAAAATATCAGATAATGGGGTCTGAATTTGATCAGATACAGGTTGTACGATGCTTCATCGCACTGCATCTGACACTGTGCCTTGTACAAAGTTAGGTGAGTACAAAGCAAATCTACTCAAAGGCTCATTTGCATTATCCTGGAAAATACGCTGGTACATTAAAAACATACTTAGCTGTTGTCAGCAAGTTTATATAGATTCCATGGTTAGCATAAGTAGGGATCTTTTCAGCAGAGGACCATGCTGGCTTAATGGTAATAAAAAGTGTGTATAACTTCAAAAGAGAAATAAAGGTACTTTTGCCTCTGAGTTTTGTATGCAAAATATCACCAGCTCAACAATTGACTTCTCTTACTACTTAATCTGAAAGTAATATGATATTATTTTTGCCTTCTAAGCATATAAATAATCAGAAATAACATTTAAAATGCATATTAATGTTTACTATGGATATTTATATTAGACAATTTTATAGTTTATACCTTTTAGCAAATCATGTATGTGTTTATTGTAAGTGTGTATATATGTATATTTTTATTATTTTACTGGAGAAGCCTATTCACACCAACAATACGAAATACTTTTTTCTCCTGTAGATTCTACACCTCATGCTTTCATGTTTAATCTGACGCCTTGCAGCACCATGAACAAACCCATCTGGAAGGCTGCTCTTACCTGGATTCCAGGTGAGTCCCTCTTGACTAGAGAACTATATTCTACAAATGCAAAAAAATGAATACAAGGAAAAAGCTGACACTTTATCCTAAATGTCAAATTATTTAGGAGATCAGCTTCTGTAACTAAAAATGGAATAGATAAATGATAATAATGAACAGAAATGATGGTTTGTGAAAATAAGTGTGCTTGTGTTTTACTTGTTGGAGCAGTTACCAGAGCTCTGCACGCTAACTGGCACTGTACGTGCAAATCTGAGCCGGTTTAGGTGCATGTGCATTTGTCTGGAAGAAGCAGACAAACTTTTGCAGCGCACAAGCTCTTCTGACCTGAAGAAGATCCAAGTCTTTTTGAAGATAGAGAATATCATTAGGCCACCCAAGTATGGCAGGGCTTCTACTAAGAATATGTGTGTTCCAGAAGCTGGAAATGGTACTGGATCGTGTATGCAAACCCAACTTTAAACTAATCTTTAAACCCAGTGCTAAGCTGGCAAGCTGAGTTACTTATGGAACAGCTGTATCATAAACTTCACCTTCTGAGTAAAAACTCTGGAGCTGGGGTAAGCTGGCTTCCCCAGAAAGATATCTTTATGATGACTATCAGCATTCAGAACAGTTTGTGTGCAACACCTGCTTAAAACTAGAGAGTCCTCATCTGTGTATTTATTTGGGTTACCTGTGAAGGTGAGTGAACTTTGTTGTCTTCGCTGAAGAAATGAAAACAGATTTTGAAATTGTTCACTCAAATTTTTTTTAAGACTGATTTTTTTTGTTGTTTTTCTGGAAGTAACAGTTTTCAAGATATGTATTTTTGTTTGTTTTGGAGGGAGTCTTTAAAAAATATTGTATTTCAGAGAAAACTAGTTTTTATCTGAATACCATGCCTGCGTATGTGCTTTTCCTCCCCACCAGTTACCTTTTTCTTATCTGCAATGTCTTAACTAGGAAGTGACATCACCTTTTTGAAGATCATCTTCAAAGTCTGGTACAACAGTGCCAAAGTGTTACACTGGAAAGAAGTCCTCTGCAGCGGAGCCGACGACGAATATGCAGTGTGCGGAATGCTGAAAGGAGGTCGGTGTGGAAAATATATGATGCCTTTCCCTTGCCTGGCACATTGCCTCCACAACAGGGCTGTATCCTGCCAGCCATTTTTCACCACTAAGCAGATTTCTTAAAAGACTAATTGATTATCCTGTGCAGACAGATTTTTCTCTCCACAATCTAGACCAATTCACCTTGCTTGGCAGGCAGCAGGCTTCAGAGCAGGCAATTCTCCAGTGCTAGAACCCCACTAAAACAGAGAATTTCCAAATTATAGAATCATAGAATCATAGAATAGTTTGGATTGGAAGGGACCTCTAAAGGTCATCTGGTCCAACCCCCCTGCCGTGGGCAGGGACATCTTCAACTGGATCAGGTTGCTCAGAGCCCCGTCCAACCTGACCTTGAATGTTTCCAGGCATGGGGCATCCACCACCTCGCTGGGCAACCTGTGCCAGTGCTTCACCACCCTCAG